ATTCTATAAAAGAAGATATTTTAAAGAATGGTGGAAACTGGTAACTATTGACTTTCATACTGTTTAGTTTTATTGAAAAGTAAATGGTTAACAGTTTCCAACAGTCTTCAAAATAACTTCTATTGAAGAATGTTGAAAACCAGTAACCATTGACTTGCATAGTCTTTGTTTTGATTGAAAGTCACTGGTTACCGGTTTCCAAAAATCTTCAAAAGAAGATATTTTGAAGAATGTTGGGAACCTGTAACTATTGACTTCCTTAGTGTTTGTTTTTATCAAAAAGTAAATGGTTACTGCTTTCCAACATTCTCTAAAATATCTATTTTTGAGCTCAACAGAAAAAAAATTAACTCAGTAAGGTTTGGAACCACTAGATGGTGAATAAATAGTGAGTATTTTTGCCCTTTTAAGCAAACTGTCCCTATAAATTGGTGTATTTTTAATTGAGATCCTAACCGTAACCATAGCCCTAACCTTAACTCTAGCTCCTGTGTGCAGAGTCCAAAGTGAAAATCCTCTTTTTTTCATCTTCAGAATGACTGTAAATAACACACTGAAAAAACAAAAATTCATTAGACTTACTACATTTGTTTAAGGTTAATGGTTGCAAACAATCCATATGGGCTGACAAGTTAGGTTAAACATACTAAATTTAACTGGTTTGTTTAAATTCAGCCCATATAAACTGTTTGCAACCACTTCATTTAAATCAAATGTAGTAAATCCAATGAATCATTTCTCAGTGTAAAGATAAAATGACACAAGGATGAGTTCTATGACTTAAATTATTTTAATGGATAATGTATTCATGCCTCAGTGGAGAAGCAGGCTTGTATGTGGATGCTGAAATTAATGGTAATGCTTCCGAGAAACTCAAAGATGCGTTGCTCATGGGACGGTGTTTCATATAAGCGTGTGTTGGGAATCTGCAGGAAGAAGTTCTGCTGAGAAGGAGAAAAAATACTGCAAGTGTTGCCCCTGAGTAATGATTAGAGTGAATAATACAGAACGGATTTGTTATAATATTAAACTAATTTCCCCTCATGTTCCCCAAATGATCATCATAGGCTCATTTGTAAAGCAAAAAACAGGACGCCGAAGCTGTAATTAACAGGTAGTGCAGTAGAAGTATTGTCAGCACAGTGTAAAACAAGGATCAGCTCGACAATGCAGCGATTCTAAAATACTCTCTTCATCCTTATACATGTGAAGCACACAATCTAGCTGCTTCAGACCGCCTGACAGGTCTGCCAGCCACATAACGATTCCTTTTAATCATAGGAAATCATTTTCAGAAACATTCTGGCTCTGCTCCAAAACCCCGGAAGAACTCTGATACCTTCTTTTCTGTTCGATTTCTGGCACACAGCCGAGTTATTACTTAAAAGAATGAGCCATGGTGTGAAATACTGATACAGAATTCCATACAATACTGAAAATGATCAATAACATTGTTTAAAATTAAATATATTTCATTCATTCATTTTCCTTCAGTCCCTTATTTATCAGGGGTTTCCACAGTGGAATTAACCGCCAACTATTCCAGCGTATGTTTTACGCAGCGGATGTCATTTCAGCTGGGACACACTCACATTCACACACTCACTCATACACTAAGGCCAATTTAGTTCGCCCAATTTGCATGTGTTTGGACTGAGAGAGACCTCCTCAATGAACTGGGGAAATTGTACTTTAAATATTGGTTTCACGATAGACAGGAATGAATTGTCTCATCCATATTAGAGTAAAAACAATAATAATAATAAAAAAAAAATGGAGAGGTGTCTGGCTGCAGACTTGGTGCAGATGCAATCTGAGCTGCATCCACTGCTTTTTAATGGGCTCACCTAACCCCACCCCTCACATTGACGACACTAGCTCCATTGAGTGCATTGTGTCTGACATTGCATCTCTGAGCGATGCAATCTCAGCAGGCATCATAAAGGCTGCATCCAGATGCTATTGAAAAAAATGAGGTGACATGGTGGCTCAGTGGTTAGCTCTGTCGGCTCATAGCAAGAAGGTCACTGGTTCGAGTGCCTACTGGGTTTCCCCCACAGTCCAAACACATGCGCTATAGGGGAATTGAATAAACTAAACTGGCCATATAGTGTATGAGTGTGTATGGGTGTTTTCCAGTACTGGGTTGCAGCTGGAAGGGCATCCACTGCGTAAAACATATGCCTGAATAGTCGGTGGTTCATTCCGCTGTGGCAACGGCTGATAAATGAAAGGACTAAGGCTGAGCTGAAGGAAAATTAATGAATTATTCATTTTCTTGTAGGCTTAGTCCCTTTATTAATCTGGGGTCGCCACAGCGGAATGAACCGCCAACTTATCCAGCAAGTTTTTACGCAGCGGATGCCCTTCCAGCCAAAACCCATTTCTGGGAAAGATCCACACACACACACATTCACACACACACTCGAACACTACATACAATTTAGCCTACCCAATTCACCTGTACCACATGTCTTTGGAATAAACCCGAGCACCCGGAGGAAACCCACGCAAACGCAGGGAGAACATGCAAACTCCACACAGAAACGCCTTCTTGCTGTGAGGCGACAGCACTACCTACAAAAAGGAATGAATGATAACAATAAATGTTCTTAATAAAGCATGTTAATCAACCTTACATTCATATTAATATTTTCTATTTAAAAGTGACTATAAGCAGGTTTTAAGAGAGCCTGAAAATAGATTTCATTCATAATTAGTTGTCATACTTTTTTTTTTCTTTTTTTTTGCCGAACATAAAATGTTTTTGTTGCACCATGGCGCCATCATGTGGTGTGGTTGACTGACCAGCACTGCTCCAAAGACACCAGCAGCTGCACGGGTACAAGTACAGGATGCAGCACTGAGGACCGTCCATCTCTACAGGTACAGACAGGGTTTATTCCTTATCTTTTGTAAATGTTTGAAATTGGGAATGCTTCTGCAGAAGACATGTCAGTATTTATTTTGATGTAAACTATTATTTTGTAATGTAAATATGTGAATGTTTAAGTATAATTTGGGTCTTTATATACATGTTTATGTACATAAATAAATAATTCCATGATTAAATCTTTGTGTGATTTTGTTCCTCTGTGGGGGCACCACAGTAAAATTTCGCATAGGGCACCCTTTTGGCCAGCAGCGGCCCTGGTCCTATGTTTCACAAATTTGATCCATCTTAGAACACATGACTGGTGCAGTCTTTAAAAGCTGAATACTATCTAATGTACTTTGAACTACAGATTTACCTTACATTGGAAATTTGGTTTACTTAATAGCTTGCAAAATTCATTCATTCTTTCATTCATTCATTCATTCATTTTCTTGTCAGCTTAGTCCCTTTATTAATCTGGGGTCGCCACAGTGGAATGAACCGCCAACTTATCCAGCACATGTTTTACACAGCGGATGTCCTTCCAGCTGCAACCCATCTCTGGGAAACATCCATACAAACTCATACACACTCATACACTACGAACAATTTAGATTACCCGATTCACCTGTACCACACGTCTTTGGACAGTGGGGGAAACCGGAGCACCCGGAGGAAACCCACGCAAACCCAGGGAGAACATGCAAACTCCACACCGAAATGCCAACTGACCCAGCCGAGGCTCGAACCAGCGACCTTCTTGGTGGGAGGCGACAGCACTACCGACTGCGCCACTGCATCGCCCTGCTTGCAAAATTAATTCCCTCATTATTTTTTTCAGCTTAGTACCTTTATTAATCAGGCCACAACTTATCCAGCATATGTTTTACACAGCGGATGCCCTTCTAGATGCAACCCATCACAGGGAAACATCTATACACACCACCACATGCACAGATAGGGCTCGACCTGTGCAGTGCACATGCCCTTTTTTCTCATGGAACTCAAGAGCCATTTGGTGTTCAGTTCGCGATCGTCCCAGTACTGGGAACATCCATACACACTCATTTACACACATACGCTACGGACAATTTAATTCATCCAATTCCCTTATAGCGCTTGTGTTTGGACTGTGGGGGAAACCCACGCGAACATACGAAGAACATGCTAACTCCACACAGATAGCCTATGCCAGGGGTCACCAAACTTGTTCCTGGAGGGCCGATGTCCTGCAGATTTTAGCTCCAACCCTAATCAAACACACCTGAACAAGCTAATCAAGGTCTTGCTTAGTATACTTGAAACATCCAGGCAGGTGTGTTGAGGCAAGTAGGAGCTAAACCCTGAAGGGACACTGGCCCTCCTGGACCGAGATTGGTGACCCCTGGCCTATGCCAACTGGCCCAGCCGGGACTTGAACCAGAGACCTTCTTGCTGTGAAGTGATTCCCACTGCACCACCATAATGTCCAGCTTGCAAAATATACAATTTTTTAATCAAAATGCATGTTAACTCCAGAATGCCAACAATTCCTGCAAAATGCATGAGACTATTATTTCCTTGACATTTTTTTTCTGTAACAAATTCTTCAAAAAAAAAAAAAAAAAAAACTGACGTCAAAAATAAATTACAGGACAATTGCATCACTAGTTGATGCAATCTCAGCTTGCATCATAAAGGCTGCATCCAGATACTACTGATCAACTGACATCAGATCGATTTGCATCTGGCATTTTCCAATTTCTTTTCGGCGTAGTCCCTTTATTAATCTGGAGTCGCCACAGTGGAATGAACCGCCAACTTATCCAGCACATGTTTTACGCAGCGGATGCCCTTTCAGCTGCAACCCATCTCTGGGAAACATCTACACACTCATTCAAATCATACACTACGGACAATTTAGCTTATCCAATTCACCTGTACTGCATGTCTTTGGACTTGTGGGGGAAACACAGGGAGAACATGCAAACTCCACACAGAAATAATGGATAAGTTGGCGGTTCATTCTACTGTGGCACCCCCAGATTAATAAAGGGATAAACCAAAAGTTGGCAGTTCATAAACTGCGGTGACTTCTGAAATAGAGACTAAGCTGAACAAATGAATCGAAATGAAGCTACTCATGTGGTTTTAGAGAGGTTTATTTCCAACAATAACTCACCATCAAGTTCGCTTTAGAAAATTCTGGGTTGTTTCAACCTGACAAACACAAGGTAATCTTTTGTATTTGGGCTAGTATAAATGAAATTTTCAACACAGCTGTTGGATTTGTCCATTTTGTGCCACTAATTTAGGTTAAAACATTGCAAATTTCACAGTGTAGCAGCTCTTTAATGGGATAGTTCACCTAAAAATGAAAATCTACTCTAATTGGTTTCTTTCTTCGGTTGAACCTAATGAAGATATTTTGAAGAAATCTGAAACTTTGTGTTCAACAGAAGAAAGTCAAACAGGCTTGAAGCAAGTAAAAGGTGATTAAATGATGGCAAACATTTAATTTCTGGCCAAACTGTGCCATTAAAATGCACACAATAAAATCCTCTTGAGCATATAAATGAATTTAAGAACCAGCCTCTTTATTGATGTACAGCTGAAGTCACAGTTATTAGCCCTCCTTTGATTTCCCGAATGATGTTAAACAGATTCAGGAATTTTTTGCAGTATTTCCTATAATATTTTTTCTTCTGGAGAAAGTCTTATTTCTTTTATTTCGACTAGAATAAATGCAGTTTTTAAATTATTTAAATTCATTTTAAGGTCAATTTTATTAGCCCCCTTAAGCAATATTAGTTTTGGATTGTCTCCAGAACAAACCACTATTATACAATGACTCTACTTTCCCCCCTAATTAACCTAGTTTAGTCTTTAAATGTCACTTTAAGCTGAATACTAGTGTCTTGAAAATATATATATTAATGGAAAAAACATACAGGAGGTCTAATAATGCTGAGCTCGACTGTGTGTGTAGGTTGATGTGAGTTGTCCGAGGTCTAGTATGCGGGGAAATCCTCTCTCTGGGACATGCAGAAGTCGGGCTGCAGGCTCTGGATGGTGCAGTCGGAAGTGTTTATGGTGCACAGACTGCAGTCGCAGCTCAGCGCCACCGGGTATGTGATCTGCGGGTCCACACCGGCGGAACAGTCGGGCAGGTTAATGGTCTCATAGCGGACGTCCCGGTACGTGCACACTGTCTGGTGGACGGTGGAAAACGGGCTCTTGTAAACGGGATCCTACAAACATACAGCAATATGTGTCAGTCTGGGAATTGTGTGTATTATTTTGAGCAAACAGAGATGGATCTTTAACAATGTTCTCTCAATAAACAATAAGCATTCTTCTTCTGGTTATAATAGTAGATCATTGATATACATTATCTGGTGTTTATTGACATTCCCAGAACGTTAAAACACTAAAATAAATTACTTTTGATGCCTGTTCAACTACTTATTTAATATGAGTTATAATAACTTTTTTGAGGGGTGTGTGTGTGTGTGGGGGGGGGGGGGGGTTCATACACGTAATTAATACTTATTTAATTAATACACTTAATTGTTGAAATTGTTGTTCAATGCTGCACAGTGGCGCAGTGGGTAGCACATCCGCCTCACAGCAAGAAGGTCGCTGGTTTGAGCCTCAACTGGGTCAGTTGGCGTTTCTGTGTGGAGTTTGCATGTCCTCCTCGTGTTGGATTGGTATAGGTGACTTGGGTAGGCTAAATTGTCTGTAGTGTATGAGTGTGTGTGAATGAGTGTGTATAGATGTTTCCCAGTGATGGGTTGCAGCTGGTAGGGCATCCGCTGTGTAAAACATATGCTGGATAAGTTGGCAGTTCATTCTGCTGTGGCGACCCCAGATTAATAAAGGGACTCAGCCAAAAAGAAAATGAATGACAACAGGAAGTAACTGGGTGGAACCCTGTAGAAAATGTTGGGTCCCACACCATCAATTTGTGTTGGGACAACATAAAAGAAATATTCATTCAATCAATTTCCTTCGGCTTAGTTCCTTTATTCATCAGGGATCACCACAGCAGAATGAACTGCCAACAAGTTTTACTCTTCCAGCCGCAACCCAGTACTGGGAAACACCCATACACACTCATTCTCACACACACACACACACACACACACTCATACACTAAGGCCATTTAGCTTATCCAATTCCCTATAGCGCATGTGTATGTGACAGTGGGGGAAATCAGAGCACTTGGAGGAAACCAACACGGGGAGAACATACAAACTCCACACAGAAATGCCAACTGGCCGAGCCTGGACTCGAACCGGCGATCTTGCTGTGACAATGACTGTGATACTACACAAAAAAAATGTTTTCCCAAATGTGTTCACCCTTGTTACGCAGTGGCCGCTGCAGATGGTGGTCTGAAACACCAGGCATTTTGGACAGCCCTCTTTTTCCACCGATACCGTCTCATTTACTAGCTCACAGCGTGGAAAAACCAAGCTCTGAGCAGCCGCCAGCAGGAAAAACAAAGAGAAGAGAAAGAAGACACCATTTCCAGCCAATAACATCCTGGAGAATGAAGAAACAACAATTAAATTGACCTCAAAGCCCCAATAATAAACAAATAAGAAAACAGTTGACGTCTGAATTATTCGCCCTCTTGTGAATTTACTTTATTAAATATTTCCCAAATGATGTTGAACAGAGCAAGGAAATTTTCACAGTATTTCCTATAATATTTTTTCTTCTTGAGAAAGTCTTATTTGTTTTATTTCGGCAAGAATAAAAGCCGTTTTTAGCTTTTTTTTAAACTCATTTTAAGCTCAATATTATTAGCCCCTTTAAGCAATATTAGTTTTGGATTGTCTCCAGAGCAAACCACTGTTATACAATGGCTTGCCTAATTACCCTAACTTTACCCTAACTAACCTAGTTAAGCCTTTAAATGTCACTTCGAAATGAGTTATTAAAACTATTGTTTAGAAATGTGTTTGAAAAATCTCTCCATTAAACAGAAAATGTGCAGAAAACATATTCAGCCGGGCTAGTAATTCTGACTTATGTATATTAGACTTACTTGACAGGCGTTGCGGTTGCTCAGCAGGCTGTTGTAAGTGTCTCTGCGTGTCCAGATTTATATAAGACACCGAAACTCGGTGCTAACCAACAATTAAACGAAAAAGTGACCTTAAATTAATCTCAGTGGCTTATGTGTTTCCATTCTTGTGTAATAATAATCTAATTTTGTCAGGTCAGGATGAACAGATGCAAAACACCTGCTGTGCTTTCAGTGTCACTTCAGATACTTTTCTGATTCTGTGCTTTATCTAATCTAAAAACACCCGAGCGGAGCAAAATCAGATGGCAACAGTACAGGGTCAGGAAATAACCAAGGTCTGCCTGATCTCAGATTTCACTGTTCATTAGAGTCCGCGGAGCTGTAAACACTCAGACACTGCTTGAAGAGTTCAGATGCAACCAAATGTTGAGCATTTTTCCATCAGTCTTTTATGTCCATAGTTTAAGTCAGAATTATTAGCCCCCCTGAATGTTTTTACAACACATTTCTAAACATAATAGTTTTAATAACTCATCTCTAATAACTGATCTCATCTTTGCCATGAATGTATTGTTCAAGATATTAATATGCAGCTTAAAGTGACATTTAAAGGCTTAACTAGGTTAATTACGGTGAAGTTAGTCTAATTAGGCATTAGTCATTGTGTAACCAACATAGGCTCATTCAGAAAACGTACCGCCGCATTTCTGGAGAGCGCAAATTATGTAACCAGAGGTATGGCTGCATTTTGTCTTTAAAACGAACGATGCGAGGCAGTATGACACCGCCAACGGCTTCTGTTTCTTTTAGCAGTACCAGCTGACCGCTTTCCTCAACGTAAACTGCTTTTTCGATGTTACCTGATTGCCCAGTGGCTCGCCACATACGCTTGCAGACTTGAGACGCAGAGAGGAGTTAACCACGACAACGAAGTCAAGCAAAGAACGGTTCCAGAAAGCAGGTAAGAAAAAACAAAAGGCAAAAAAAAAAAATAGAAAATAAACAAGTAAATACCATGGTGAGAATGTGGTAACATCTGAAAACGTGGTAAACAAAAAATAGGCTACAGGGCTTTTCTTTTTCTGGATTGCTTTTGAAAACACAATCGGTTGGGTTTAGGCAAGGCAGTGGGTGGGGGGATCGGACGGTCAGTCAGTCAGTCGACAGCAGCCTCTAGTGGATTTATGCGAGAACCGCAGGCACGTATGGAACTCGTAAGAGAAATTTAAGATCTAAAAAAGCATACACAGCGGCCTCTAGTGGATTTATGCGAGAACCACAGGTGTGTATGGCACTTGCGAGAGAAGTTTAAGATCTAAAAAAAAGCATACACAGCGGCCTCTGGTGGATTTATGCGAGAACCACAGGTGTGTATGGCACTTGCGAGAGAAGTTTAAGATCTAAAAAAAAGCATACACAGCGGCCTCTGGTGGATTTATGCGAGAACCACAGGTGTGTATGGCACTTGCGAGAGAAGTTTAAGATCTAAAAAAAAGCATACACAGCGGCCTCTGGTGGATTTATGCGAGAACCACAGGTGTGTATGGCACTTGCGAGAGAAGTTTAAGATCTAAAAAAAAGCATACACAGCGGCCTCTGGTGGATTTGCGAGAACAAAATCTGCAAAAAAACGTACCTCCTGGGATGTATTTGGCGCTCTCCAGAAATGTATACAGGGGTACGTTTCCAGAATAAGCCTGGGTTGCATACAAAGATGGTTTGTTCTGTAGACAATCCAAAACAAATATTGCTTAATGGGACTAATAATATTGACCTTAAAATGGTGTTTAAACATTAAAGAGAACATGCAAACTCCACACAGAAATGCCAACTGACCCAGCCGGGACTAACCACTGAGCCATCATGTCGTCCTCATTTATAACCATTAGCAAATCAATATTACTTTTGATATACTTTTAAAATATTAATTATTTACCTGTGCACATAATAATTTCATTGAAATTCAACTATCCTTATAGCTAATCTTTAATCCAAACAGCTCTTCAAGAACATGCTAAATAATACACCAATAGCAAACCACAAACATCCTATCAATTCTCCCTGGACAAAATGAAGTCTCATTTGATAATTTTATAAATAAAATAAATAAATGAATGACATGCCATATACTTATCTTACTTAAAACTTACTTAAAACATACTTAAAATCATACTTAAAACATAAAATCGACACAGACGTGAGCTGCTAAACGCCGGAACCAACAATCGCCAGTTTAATTGTGCCGTCGGGAAGAAATAACTGGCGCACCATGAAAGTATCGGGTTAAAATTTCATAACGCGTGAGTCTGCCTTAATGATTGTGTTAAAATCTCACCCTGTGAAATGACCGAGGAGGACGGCAAGACCCAGGTGCGTGTTATTTTATTCATTTATTCTTTTTTGTTCAATTTATCTCATTTACACTAACGTTAAGGAACAGTTCACGAGAGAAGGTCATGTAATAAACTGTTAGCTAATAAACGGAGGACACGAAGACCTGTTACACTACATTATTATAGTCAATTTTCGTAGTTCTGTTGGTATTGTTGTCTTTTTGAACTATACCATAGTAAAGTAATTGAATTAATCTGTGGTATTTCTATAGTTTATACTTTAACACAACTATAGTAATGTAAACAAATGACCCAATACTGTAATTTTCTGCAGGTACAGGGTATATTATACTACAATACACCAGTTTACTGTAGTAAAATCTAAAGTATATTGGAATATTTATTATAGTTTATCACCATAATTCCTATACTGCAACATTAATTATCAAAAAGTTAATGTTATATAGGAAATACAGCAGTATAATACATAATATTATCATTCAAAAACACTGTAGTATTTACTATGAATAACTTTAGTATTGTCATGTGGAATATGTTAATATCTAAATGTACTTCCATAACAGGTATATTACTTATGGGCATATTACATTTACATTATTTTTTATATTTATATTATATTATACATACATAATTGCTGCTGGGCAAAGATTAATCACGATTAATCACATCCAAAATAAAAGTTTGTTTTGACATGATATACAGTTGAAGACAGAAATATTAGCCCCCTTAAATTATTAGCTCGCTCTGTTTATTTATTTTTTCAATTTCTGTTTAACAGAGAGCTTTTTTTTTAGCACATTTCTAATCATAATAGTTTTAATAGCTCATCTCTAATAACTGATTTATTTAATCTTTGTCATGATGACAGTAAATAATAGTTGGATTAGATATTTTTTTCAAGGCACTTCTATACAGCTTAAAGTGACATTTAAATGCTTAAATGGATTAATTAGGTTAACTTGGCAGGTTAATGGTTAATTAGGCAAGTTATTGTATAACGATGGTTTGTTCTGTAGGTTATTGAAAATATATAGCTTAAAGGGGCTAATAATATTGACCTTAAATAGTTTAAAAAAAAATTAAAACAGCTTTTATTTTAGCCGAAATAAAACAAATAAGACTTTCTCCAGAAGAAAAAATATTATCAGACATACTGTGGAAATTTCCTTGCTCTGTTAAACATAATTTGGGAAATATTTAAAAAATAAAAAAAAATTCAAAGGGGGGCGAACAATTATGACTTCAACTGTATGTATGTGTGCTGTCAGCGTATATTTATTATGTGTATTTATAAATACTGTACACACACACACACACACACACACACATATATATATATATATATATATATATATATATATATATATATATATATATATATATATATATATAATTTTTGTAAAGTATTTAAATATGCAAATATATCCATTATTTTATACATTGCAATATATGCATATTTTATTTATATACATTATTTTAAAAATATCTAGTATTCATTTATTTTTTGGACATATCAAGTGTTTTAATTAAGCTGCAATCTCTTTAAATCAGTCAACTGAGGAAAAAATAAACTACATTGTTGGAATAATTGTATTGTCAGCCAAGTTACTTATGAACTGCAAAAACCTTCAGAATATAGATATGAATAAAACTTTAAAGTGTAAATAAAAGCTGCTGAAATGGAGATTTATGGCTCAATGCTGGAGGAAAATCCATTTTGAGAAAACCCTCTTTAAAAATACGTGACAAAAGAAACACTTATAATTGTATTATTTTGGAGGCTTTCTGTGCATTGGACTGAAAAACAGTCTCCAGCTTTTCTGGTGCATAAAAAAACCCTGTGTTTTTTCTTCATTTTATTAACATGTGACCTTTACATTTAAAATCAGGGGTGCTTTATAAAGACGACTGAGTATAATGTGCTTTCATTAATTCCCAATGAACACAATGACTTACGCAGGGCATGAAAGTCTTGGGCATCCTGGACATCCACAACACACCCTGTGCTCGTGAAGCGATTCTGCATGGAGCAGCGGGTTCAGTCGCCGCAGGACTACTGCACTTTCTGGCAACCAGTGAGTGTCTGATCACCTGATCTACAGTTTGACGTCTGATAATGTGTCTGTAATCTGACTGGACTGTAATGAATTTTTCTCCTGTCTTTCACAGGTCGAGTAAAGAGGTCGTTTGATGTGGGTGTTGCAGGATTCATGATCACAACACTGGGCTCATGGTGTGTATTTCTTTTTAGGGTCACTTTATTTTAAAGTATGCTATTAACCAACCATTAACTAAGATTTTTAGCACAATAAACTACTAATTAGCTGCTTATTATTAATAGTTCGTAAGGTAGTAAGTGGGTTTAGGTATTGAGTAGGATTTGGGATGTAAAATAACATCATACGCTAATAAACTTTTAAAGGGACAGTTCCAATGGTTCCAAACCTTTATGAATAAGATCATTTGAAGAAAGCTGAAAGCTGGTAAACGTTGACTTCCACAGTAGGAAAGACAAATACTATGGAAGTCAATGGTTACCAGCATTCTTCAAAATATCTTCTTTTGTGTTCAACAGAAGAAAGAACCCTAAAAAAATGGTTTGGAACAAGAGAAAGGCGATTAAATTATAATTTTTTTGCTTTTTTTTGGGGGGGGGGGTGAACTGTCCCTTTAATATCTTAATAATAGGCAGGTAATAATTAAAAATGTGCTAAATTATTACAAAAACTAAATTGTTATTGTTTTTAGATGACTAATAAAATGCAGCACAACAAATATTACAGTAAAGTAAATTCAGTTTTCTATCCCTATCATCAGAATAGAGAAAACAATGTCATATATTGCCACATGCAAAATAATAAAATGAATAAATGTAGTAAATTGTATTTGACAGTTTTTAGGATTTTTAGTCATCTACAGTGCTCAGCATATAAACCCCTCACAGATCTCTCTCTTAAATTATTTCCTACACTCACAGGCCACTTTATTAGGTACACCTTACTAGTACCGGGTTGGATCTCCTTTTGCCTTCAGAACTGCCTTCATCCTTTGTGGCATAGATTCAACAAGCTACTAAAAATATTTCTCAGAGATTTTGCTGCATATTGACATGATAGCATCACGCAGTTGCTGCAGATTTGTGATGCGAAACTCCCGTTCCACCACATCCTAAAGCTGCTCTATTGAATTGAGCTCTGGTGACTGTGGAGGCCATTTGAGTACAGTGAACTGATTGTCATGTTCAAGAAACCAGTCTGAGATGATTCACGATTTATGACATGGAGTGTTATCCTGCTGGAAGTAGCCATCAGAAGATGAGTACACTGTGGTCATAAAGGGATGGACATGGTCAGCAGCAATACTCAGGTAGGCTGTGGCGTTGACATGATGCTCAATTGGTACTAATGAGCCCAAAGTGTGCCTAGAAGATCCCCCCACACCATTACACCACCACCACCAGCCTGAACCACTGATACAAGGCAGGATGAATCCATGCTGTCATGTTGATGATGCCAAATTCTGACCTGACCGTCCGAATGTGGCAGCAGAAATGGAGACTCATCAGATCAGGCAACGTTTCTCCAATCTTCTATTGTCCAGTTTTGGTGAGTCTGTGTGAATTGTAGTCTCAGTTTCCTGTTCTTAGCTGACAGGAGCGGCACCCGGTGTGGTCTTCTGCTGCTGTAGCCCATCCGCCTCAAGGTTGGACGTGTTGTGTGTTCAGAGATGCTCTTCTGCAGATCTCGGTTGTAACGAGTGCTTATTTGAGTTACTGTTGCCTTTCTATCAGCTGGAACCAGTCTGGCCATTCTCCTCTGGCATCAACAAGGCTTTTGCCCCCACAGAACTGCCGCTCACTGGATATTTCCCCTTTTTCAGACCATTCTCTGTAAACCCTAGAGATAGTTGTGCGTGAAAATCCCAGTAGATCAGCAGTTTCTGAAATACTCAGAGCAGTCCGCCTGCACCAACAACCATGCCACGTTTAAAGTCACTTAAAACCCTTTCTTCCCCATTCTGATACTCGCTTTGAACTGCAGCAGATCGTCTTGACCATGTCTACATGCCTAAATGCATTGAGTTGCTGCCACGTGATTGGCAGATTGGAAATTTAAGTTTATGAGCTGTTGGACAGTATCTAATAAAGTGGCCAGTGAGTATATATATATATATATATATATATATATATATATATATATATATATATATATATATATATATATATATATATATATGCTTTACAATAATATATTTGTGTATATACATTAGATTAGTCAGTACTAAAGCCAAAACTGCAACTAATCTAACAAAAGCTGAAGATCACAGTCCAAAAACTAGTAAACCTAAATTAATACATTGGAGAAAAACGTTTAATGAAATTTAAAAAACAGGAAAATTCTATCAAAACATAAAATATATTAAATTTAGTTGATATTTTGTAGTTTGTAATAGTTTTTTTTTCTTTAATTTGTTAACTGCTTTGAAATTAAATGTATTTTGTTTCTATTTTTATGACATTAGGTGACCAAACTTTTATTTTAAATGTTTAATAAATCTGTTTTAATTAAATACAGCAAAATATATTGCTAATCTTATCTAAGAAATGGAGAAAAAGCATACTGAGCTCTATGTGCCATGTTGTTCTGCAGGTTCTACTGCAGATATAATAATGCCAAGCTGCGGTTTCAGCAGAGAATCATTCAAGAAGGCTTAAAGAATAAAGTCTTCTACGAAGGCACGGATTTAGATCCCACACTGAAGAAGACGGGGGATAAGTAAATCTTCCATGTCTGACTACAAAATCATGTCATTTATGTGATGGCTGCTGTATTTATTGTGTAATTAAATGTCAAATGTTTCTAATAAAGTCTTTCTTTGTTTTATTATAAACAAATAATTTTTCTTTTTATTTGATTGTTTCAGTTTGTGGAAATGCAAAAAAATACACTAAACAGCAGATGTAAATTGTACTTTTATCACAAATTCTTAAAAGAAGATACTGCAGAACTTGACATGTGGGTAATGAAAGAGTGTTCTTTTTGAAACAAACACATTGTGTGGCAAAAGAGCTGATATCAACAATTATAGAGATTTGCTTACACATTTAATCAGAAAAATATATATATTTTAAGGTGTTGTTACATGTTCCATGCACTTATTATAGTAACAGCAGTTAATTTTGTATAATTGTATGCAACTAACTCTAAATCTAACCCTGACCATACAGTAAGTACATGTAATTAATTAATATTACGGTCCCACTTTATATTAAGTGGCCTTAACTAATATGTACTTACATTAATAGTTTGTTACAATGCACTTATTGTGTAAATACATGTATTTACTGTGTACTTATGCTTGATTAAATACATGTATGTAATTACATCTGTAATTAACTTTTGTAATTACATTTGTAAATACACTGTTGACCATCCCTTACACCTTAACCCTCCCTTAAACCAACCCATACCACCAAACCTGTCCATAACCCACCCTCTATACCAACTCAAAAGCACCACAAGTGTTCTCAAATACATTATAAACACAGTAAGTACATTGTATTTATTTTTTGATGTAAGTACATAGTAGTTAAGGACACTTAATATGAAGTGGGACCAATATTACTAGTTAAATTAAGTTACTCTGTAGCAAGGACACCTCAAAATAAATGTGATCATTGTGTCACTAAACATTTTCAATCACTCATTTCTAACTAACTAATGATTGAAGCATGAACATTGTTAAAACAAGATAGAAAAATAAGAAAGATATACATCTTTAAAAATGTAAATACTAAAAACCATTTTAGGTTTTGGACAACCAATGTTTCTTCATCAGTGGACTTTTCTGAGTCTAGTTCCACAACCACTAGTGTGCAGCATCCACTTAGATCAGTGGTGTCAAACTCAATTCCTGGAGGGCCGAAGCCCTGCACAGTTTAGTTCCAACCCTGCTCCAACACACTTACCTGTAGGTTTCAAACAAGCCTGAAGGACACAATTAGTTTGATCAGGTGTGTTTAATTAGGGTTGGAGCGCCTGTGCCTTAGATGATGTGACGGCAGCCACAGGACAAAGGCGCCAGTGCTTCACCACACACCAGCTATAGGTCGAGTGAAGAGACAGTGATAGAGCCAATTCAGTGGCTGGGGATGATCGTGAGGGACTTTGGCCAGGACACCGGGGTTACACCCCTACTCTTCACCAGAACTGCCAAGGGATTTTTAATGGCCACAGAGAGTCAGGACCTCGGTTTAACGTCTCATCCGAAAGACGGCGCCCACTGACGGCGTAGTTATTTCATTAGGGGTGCTGGAGGTGCTGGCGGCGCGTGCAATTATTGTCTAGGTTTCCCCATACGGAGCCGACAGATAAACCATCAGAAAACCCCGTCATTTCCATTTTTTTTTTAAATATTGTAATATGTACATAAACACATTTTAAAGTAGTATTGTATTTATAACGCAGTATTGTAAGTAATGAACAGTAAGAGGTATTTGGCATCCTGTCACAGGAGAGAGCTCTGAGCTTAGGAGATCCTCAAGCCCGGGACTTCTATTTTGAAGGGTGAAAGGGAAGTTTGAGCTCAGGTAGGTCTCGAGAACTCCCTTGGTTTAGTTAGGGCGTATGACATATTGGCTTTGCTATGGATAGATAAACTGCTGACTGAAAGGCATAAATAGGAGACTGACTAAGAGCTCATCTACTGTGACAATTTGGTTTAGTCAATTCACTTATGTCGCATGTCTTTGGATCGTGGGAGGAACCCACACAAGCTTGGGGAGAACATGTGAACTCCGCACAGAAACGTCAACTGGCCTAGTAAGGACTTGAACTAGTGACCTTCTTGCTGTGCGGCAACAGTTGAGCTGCCATGCCGCCCTATCTAGGAAAAGGGAGCAGTAAGGGAGGATTCTTCCAGATGAAGATAACTGAGGTAAGAAACTCTGCTTTTAGTGTGTTAAGATTCATCCGATTGGTCAGGTGATAGCTAATGCGCGACCAGCTGTGGTCAAAACTTTATTATGGGTAAACGTTCCAAATAATGTACAACTTACATAGGTTTCAAACTGTGGTCTTGGTCATGCATAATCCCAACTAGATATTAACTATTGTAGATGTGCACATGATGATGTCACTGCTGAAACAATATAATGTGCAGCCCTAATCAGTACAGGTGTATTGCATTGGAAGTGATGTTATAATCAGTGTGAATCATCAGTCTTCATCAGTGCATTTTTCTGAGTCTAGTTCCACAATCTCCTGGTCATTAGGGGAGCTGGAGATGCTGGCGGCGCGTGCAATTCTTGTCAAGGTCTCCCCATACGGAGCCGACAGATAAACCATCAGAAAAACCCCGTCATTTCCATCTTCAGTGCTGCTTCCTTCCTCCAAGGTGGATAGAATTTCAGCGGTGCTATTGGCATTGTCAAAATCCAGTGTGATGACGTTGGTTGTGTTCTCCTGCCCTCTGAAACATCTTCGGTAAAGGAAGAAGGCGATTCCACTGAGGAAGAGCAGGGATCCTGCGACTGTGAGCACATACCACGCCACCTGCGCTCGATCTTCAGCCTTGCTGGATGTCAACTCATTCCAGAAGCCCTGGTAAAGGTAAATCAACAGCAACAGGTAAACACATCTACTCACCAATCAGCATGAAATCTCTTCTACTCACTAGTCAATGAGTGAACTCTACACTTCAGAAAACTGCAGCACTCATCAATTGAGAGGTAAACTCAATTTCTCACCAATCAAGAGGTTAAATGTGTCTACTCTCCGATCAGCAGGTAAACTCATCTACTCTCCAGTGAACAGATAAACCTCAGTACTCATCAATCAACTGGTAAACTCGTTTGTTCACCAGTCAAGAGGTTAAATGTGTCCACTTCAATCAGCAGGTAAACTCATTTGGTCACCAATCAAGAGTAATCTACTCCCCATTTAACAGGTTACCTCATGTACTCACCAGTCAAGTCAACTTGCCTATTCATCCTTCAACAGGCAAGCTCATCTATTATTCTGTCAACAGGTACTGTAAACTCTTTTACTCTCCAGTCAACAGGTAAACTTGTCTACTATACAGTCAACAGGTAACCCTTTTACTCTAGTTAATAGGTCAACTTGTCTACTCTTTAGTCAGCAGGTAAACCCTTCTACTCTCCAGTCAACAGGTCAACTTGTCTACTCTCTAGTCAACAGGTAAACTTGTCTACTATACAGTCAACAGGTAAACTTGTCTACTCTCCAGTCAACAGGTAAACTCGTCTACTCTCCAGTCAACAGGTAAACTTGTCTACTCTCCAGTCAACAGGTAAACTCGTCTACTATACAGTCAACAGGTAAACTCGTCTACTCTCCAGTCAACAGGTAAACTCGTCTACTCTCCAGTCAACAGGTAAACTTGTCTACTCTCCAGTCAACAGGTAAACTTGTCTACTCTCCAGTCAACAGGTAAACTTGTCTACTATACAGTCAACAGGTAAACTTGTCTACTCTCCAGTCAACAAGTGAACTTGTCTACTCTACAGTCAACAGGTAACCCTTTTACTCTAGTTAATAGGTCAACTTGTCTACTCTACAGTCAACAGGTAACCCTTTTACTCTAGTTAATAGGTCAACTTGTCTACTCTACAGTCAACAGGTAACCCTTTTACTCTAGTTAATAGGTCAACTTGTCTACTCTTTAGTCAGCAGGTAGACTTGTCTACTCTTTAGTCAGCAGGTAAACTCATCTACTTACCAGTCAACAGGTAAACTTGTCTACTCTCCAGTTAACAGGTAAACTCGTCTACTCTCCAGTCAACAGGTAACCCTTTTACTCTAGTTAATAGGTCAACTTGTCTACTCTCCAGTCAACAGGTAAACTCGTCTACTGTCCAGTCATCAGGTAAACTTGTCTACTCTCCAGTCATCGAGTAAACTTGTCTACTTACCACTCAACAGATAAACTTCAGTACTCCTTAATCAACAGGTCAATTTTTTTGCTCACCAGTCAAGAAGTTAAATGTGTCTACTCTCTAAGCAAGGTAAAATTCCCTACTTTTTACTTAACCAGCCAACTTAATTTAGCCAACTGGTAAGGTAAAGTTATCTACTTACCAGTCAACAGATAAACCCTTTTTCTCTCAAATCAACAGGTAAACCATTCAACTCTCCAGTCAACAGGTAAACGTGTCTACTTTACCAGTCAACAGGTAAATATGCCTAGTCTCCAGTAAACAGGGAAACTAGACTAATCAACAGTTAAACTCATGTACTCTCCAGTCAACAGGCAAACTAGTCTGTTTCCCAATCAGCAAGCAAAGTCATGTATGCACCAGTCTAAATGTAAACTTGCTTTTTCACCTGTCAACAGGTAAACTTATTTGGTCACTAATCAACAGATTATTGGTCTGCTCAACAGGTAAACTGGCCAGCTTACTAATCAACTAGTATGCTTCCCAATCAACATGCAAACCAATCTCTTCTCCAGTCAGCTAGTAAGCTTCTCTAATCTCTAGTCAACACAATTCATTTACAACATCCAGCGGTTCAAATACCTCTGTAAAAGACAGTCAGAATCCCAAACCTTCAGAGTGAGTCGTTTGTGTGTCCAACTTGATATCTTGCAAACATGTTACAGTTATAAAATATCAAAATTCACATCAGTGGGTATTTTATTGAGATATTGAGTTAATGCATATTGTTTATAAGTTTTTGACCGTTCTTGTCTATAGTTTGAACTCCCACCTCTCCCGGAAGCTCTGGGTGTCTCATATTTTCATAGAGGCTCCCTAATCCTTGCGAATGAGATAATATCCTGAAAATTCATTTGGGTAGGTTGGGATGTCTGTGAACTATTAAATGCATATTTAAAAACAGTTGCCATGAATGGCAGATGAGCACTCAACTTCAC